GTGAGTGTGTGTGAGGGTGAGGGTGTGTGAGAGCGCGTGGGTGTGGGAGGGGGTGACGTCATTGTTTCTTCAGGTTATGGCGGAGCTGAACTCTTCAAAGTTTCTCTGGTGAGTGTTTATCGCTTCTCGAAATGCATTATATGCTTTGTATTTGTAATGGTCGTGTCACACATCTGTTTTTCGCCTGGTGGTTATAAAAATGTAAGTGGCTAGTGAAGTGTTTGTAGAGTTCGCTGTTTGATTTGATAGGTTTGTGCAGAGAAGAAGTAGGGCCGCGGAGGGAAGAGTAGCTACTCGACAGTTCCTTCAGCACTTCTTACTAGTGTTTCTCTTTATACGTTCAGAATAATAATGGGTGATTGTCCTGCTTTTCCATTAAAGTGTGTAAAACCGTTTCCGATGAAGACATCTTAGCGACTAGACTTCTGTTTGTTTGTTTTGAAGCCACACAAACAGCGCGCTTAGCGTTATTCAATCATTAACAACATTAACAACATCGCGCGTGTTTGTGGATCCGGAGCGTTTTTATTAAATGTACAGACTCTGATAACTACAGCAATACTATTCATTTAATGCAGTAAATGTGTTTGATCTAAACTCGCATGATTGTGTGTTATTTTGACAGCTCATTAAGGCTAACTTGAATCAGGATTGCCTGAATGTGTGTTTGTGTCATTATTATTACACAAGTTTCTGTAGTTTGTCAGTACTGTTATGTAAATACAGATCTGTAAAACCCAACAACACAGCAGAGATATTCTTAATGAAATAAGTGACATTAATTCCCCAACTGGGTGAAAACAAAAGTGTCTTTCATTAAATTCATTAAAAGTTTCATTTCGTTGTTTTTGACCCACATAACTGTGCACTCTAAATAAAAAAGGTTGCTACAACATTGTAGATACCAGTGACATTTATCAACTCTCTATTGCACATCATAAGCCACTAGCTTAACTAATATAAAGTCCAAACGTGATTAAAGACAAGGAGGCATCTAGTAATAAAATAAATGACAAGCAATAGCACAAATAAATACAGTAGAACTAAAATACAAATGATAAAAGCAGTGAATTAGTTTTTCAGGTATGTCTAACAGTAGTTTTCAGGTAAGAAATA